ACAGCTGGGCTATTATCAGGCAAACTAACCACAGACCTCAAAGCCAAATCTGTCCTTTCTAATAATTCCCTTCCTGTGGGCCTTCTCAGTTCACAGAGGCCAAGTTCAGGCTCTTGTGCTTGCTAATACCTCTGTGTCAAATTAAGAAGATAATACAAACATAATATAAAAAGAACATCAAGACTGCACCTCTTGAATTAGGACATAACTCTGGAATTATGTAGATTTTTGTGTACATCAGACTCTTAGGATACAAGCAGTGTTGTGGAGATTGGAACACTATTTCCTGCCATTAAAAAAAAAATCTCTTTTCATTAGGTCAATAAAGAAAGAGCTTTAATCAAAAGACCAATGAATCTCCTTTTGAGATAATCTCTGTATAAATAAAATATGCCAACAAGGCTGGTTTAATCCCATGTGTTCTCAACTGCATATTTAAAACCTTTTTATATGCTGGCACCCTGCTGCAGCCAGTGACTGTCAAATTATTAAGATGTGTTTTTAACTGCACAAAGATATGAATCATTTCTGGATTTCTAAGTTAATAGTAGCATTATTTAGTTAATATAATGCTGTGATTAGGAAATTAGATTTTCTAATTTCCAAGAAAACACATCTCTAAGGATGTTTTTGTCTGAGAAGTTGCATATGCAGAAAACTCAGTATGTTCCACAGACAGGTTCATCTCATGAGCTAAGGGCTGATTTTTGAAAGTTTATACATAATGACAATCTAAAAGTATAATACTGTGAACATCATTTGTAGAAGACTTACATAGGTAATGCTTCATTAAAAAGTATTTATATGAAAAAAATACTGAAATTCATTGTTAAAAAAGCTCCTCGGATTATCAGAAGTTCAAAAGCACTTGGCAGTATTCAGAACAACATAAGTTGTTAAACACAGAAATTTGTGTCCATTTCAGTATTTTAGCAGATAGCCTATGAAGAAACTTAACAGCTGGATTAATGAATGCAGTTAAATGTCTTCCTCCATGACAGTGAAAATCCTAGTAACTATCGAATGTATAATTTTGAAAAACCAAAAGTAAAAATTATTTGGCGTCAAACTCCTTGCTCTCATTCTCCTGTAGAAGTCACAGTTTACTGCACCCCTATCCTTTTCCATTTATTGTACATGGAACATGCACTAAGATTCAAATTCTCCCTGATAAAGACAACTGATGTCTCTTCCACAGTGATTGGAAACTAACCTCAAAAGCAGTTCTTTCACATTGGCTAAATATTCTTTGCATTATGCCTTCTTTTTGAGTACTAGAGATTGAACTGAGAACCTTCAAGCTGAGGTGCATCTCCAGGCCTTCACTTTGTTTTGAGATGGCGGTCTCACTAAGTCGCTAAATCGCTGGCTTAAGTCTGAGATCCTCCTCAAATGATGGGGTTATAGACGTGTATAACCACACATAGTGCATTATGATTTCTACTATGCCTAACCAATCCTAGCCATCATGGTCATCATCTCCAGCATTTCTCTATCTGAAGTGTAGGTGAGATAGAAAAAAAGATGTCTTAGGGCCAGCAGTATAGCTCAGCAGCGTGGCGCCTGAGGGCACACTGAGAATTGTAGTGTTGTGCTATTAACTGTGAGCAAACTAACATTTCTATGACTCAGATTCTTCATCTGTAGACAAGGGATTTCAGCTGCACCCGTATTTATAGAACTTCGTGAAAACAGAAAACAATTAACTGGTAAATACTCAGTAATTATTAGAAGTTGTTACTGATCTTTAAAAAGCCCACTGTAAAATAAGCCCTAAGAGCTGAGCATATTACATACTCTAGGAATGATCCTGAAGCCCTAGTACACCAGGGTTTGGCACCTCAATTTAATATCTCTCCCTGCTGCACACACTTTTATCAGTGTAGTGATTTATTTATTGATAGTTATTTGGAAATATCTTTTTAAAAAAATTACTTGGAGAAAATAAAAAGGTCAACTGAAAACAAAATGTCGATCACTAAGTTTTGAATGCAGATGAAGTAGAACTGAGGTTGAACTGGGAGAATAAGTACTCTATATGAGCTCTGTAACTCTTTTGTTATTTTTAGAAATAACAATTAGATAATTTATAATTCATACAATTTTAAGTGTTCCCAGTGGTGGTTTCTATTAGTGGTAAGTTATGGTGAAAGCTTTAGAATGAAAATAACTCACAAGTTTAATAAAAACTGTGTGTTTCTTGTGTTGAATTTTCTTACATAAGGCACAAACTGCCTATAAGCAGAAAAATAGATGGAATGATAGATTAAAAGTACTTCATAAATTATAATATTTCATAAATACAGCTATTAAAGGGGCTGGGGATTTAGCTCAGCGGCATAAGTGCCTGCCTTGCAAGCAGGCAGTTGTGAGTTCGATCCCTGGTATCGATAAAAAGGAAAAGGACAAAAAAAAAAAAAATACAAGTATTAAGCAGGATTGTGGGGAGTCACTTAGCAAAAGAAATGATCAAGTGAAAGTTCCTAAAGGCCAGGTCACTTAGGGGAATTCTCCTAGCAGTTCATCTGCCTGGGTGTGCCCCTGAGGAGGTGATGTCATCTTTGAAGACTGAGAAAACAGACGAATTGGAACCTCACTCATGGTGCCAAGAGTGAGTTCAGTGACATCATACTGCCTAACAACATTCAAAGTAACTCAGTTTTACAAACAGGTTAACAACCTTAGCAAGAATGTGCTGCCTCTGTCCAGAGAGCTACAAATGAGTAGCATGGACTGCTCAGGCATGTGAGAATCTGAAGTATTTCCCTACACTTACATGTACTACTAGTCAGTATGAATGAGGGGAACTTGCATGTAAAAGGGAGGAAAAATATACATTTAAAGAAATGCTTGCGGATTGTATTTACCTTGGTAAAATGGTAGGCTGCTGGGAAATAAAGCAGGAAACATTCAAAAGTAATTTCTGATCTAAGAAACCTGCTCAGAAGTATAGTGAGGTAAGGCACAATCCTTGGCATTTTCAGGTGATTCTAGTAAATCAAAAGTTCTATGGCCTCAAGGAGGGGAAAGTAGGGAGAGGTGTCCATCCATTCCTGTTGACATGTAAACTATGAGAGATGTTCCAGTTCCCCATGGTGATCAGGAGGAGTAACACCATGACTTGTGAAGGGTCATTCTGATAGCTTATGCTTCTGGCATCATTTATGGTTTCCAGTCATTTTTACATGCATCCTCTTCTCAGATCTTTCAAGCTGCCTCAGTTGGCAAGGGAAGCAGGTGTCCTGTTCATTTTATAGATTCTGAAAACTAAGGCTCAGAGAGGCTGACACACTATGGTTCAGCCATGGCCAGATCCTGTGATTTCAGATTCCTAATCCAGGAGTAAAAGCAAATAAAAATAGCCCTAGAAATATTTCACATTTATCATTTAAGAATGGATTTTAAATGCCCGGGTATATAACTGTGTCAGATTAATCGGGTCAGGAGGGAGTCATTCTGGGCAATTTCCCAGAGGTGAGATCAACACTTATTCTACATGATGTAAGAGGAAAAGTGAATTTATCTTCACTATAGTCAAAGCTGGCAGATTCAACACAACCCTTTGTATCTTAGCAATGAATATTAATGCTTCCCATCTACTTCCTCTCTCAAGGCAAAAGTGCATTTTCATCCACCAAAGATAAAAATTAGTGGAGAGGATAAATGAGGACACAAAACCTAGCCCCACTTGCATGTCAGTCATTTAGCAGCCACGGAATGATCTAATAGAAACAAAGGCAGCTTCTCATTATGCTAATTTCTGTGATGATTTTTAGACAAAAAGATGCTGACCCAGAAGGACAGAACATAGACAATCCAAGCTATACCTCCTGAAAATGTTTATAGACACATAAAAGGCCAATTAAGTCCTCAATCATAATCATACCAGGTAACAGCTGGCAAACAGAAGAATCATTCCTTTTTGGAATGGCTGTATCAACGAGCTTCACAGTTATGGCCTTTTAAGAACTTAAAGGAAATGTTGCTAACATTCATTTTGAATATCCATCCATTCAATAGTTACAGTGCCTGCTATGTGTTGTTTCTTAATCTGGCACTGGGAATCCATCTGGTTGCCTTTCAGAAGCTCTCATTCCAGTGGAAGGTGACTTCCAGTGACAGTAGATAAAATATATTAGCTAGTTGAAAGTATTTGTGGAATAAGGTAGACAAATGGAATAAGGAGCAATGAGTGAGACAGGGAGTGGTTCTATAATAAAAATAGTGTCTTTGTATATATAAAGTCAATTCATGTCCAGGTGAAAAATGTACAAAATGTCTGAAAATATGTATTTACAAGCTCATACTAAAACTTAGAAATATAAAGTTCAAATCTGGAAAAAGGGAAAGATTCTCAAAACAAAGTCAACGGCAGGAGAAATCTTCATAGCCCACATCCTGTTTACAGTTACCCAATTGCCGAACTTTTAAACATCTATGGCATTAATTTGTTAGGACTACGTAGAGGGTACTTCATCGACCTGTGTGCCTACAAGTAACTCACTGATCATTTTACCTTAGGAGAAACAAAACATACACCAGACCAGTACCATATCCTTAGACTTCCACACAAACATCTAAATGACTAGGACCTCCAAATATTAAGGTGAATTATTTTCAGAATAAGAAATCTTAGGAAAAACTCACACTTTAATAAATACATTAAAAATTGTGACAATCCTAAATTGCCTATCAAATAAAATTTAGTTCTAATAGATTAAAAATACACTTCTTTATTTTTTAAAATTTTTCTCACAACTGGTACATTCCTTCTCTACTAGTGACTGTACTATATTGGCCTGTGTTATCTGTTTTTCTAAAGATAATCTTATGAATTTGTAAATATACAGATGAGTCAAGATTACATTATCACTAGTGAAGTATCTCGTAGCTGGACAAGCTTTAAAAGGATATGAAAATAATATTTTGTCATGGTTATACCTAAAATACAGAACAAAAGAGAAAATGACTCATCGGAATAAGTGCAGAGTCTTACTTACCCGGAATAGGAATGATAGGAATACTTTCATTGGGGACCACCCGAGGTGAATTGCTATCTTCCACATAGAAATGAGCTGTCTGAAAACATTTTCTGTGGGCAAAAGAGAAAACCATGTGAACAGCAAGACCAGAGAAATAAACTTTCATTTCATCATTTTTCAATTATTTTCACATAATTTCCCAGCTTTAAGCATCCCACAGTGCAAACCCATGAAAAAGTAACAAAAGAAGACAACATTTATCCTATTGGAAGCCCCCAACATAGCTAGTGGATATCAATTTTATAACTGCATCTAAGCTAATAATAAAAGACAAACACTTAGTATTAAGCCATCCCAGTACATGCAGACTTGGCCCAGTAGAGTGAATTTGGGCACCAAATGCTAAAGAGTAACCTGTAATGATTTTATGCTTGACATCTTAGAGGGGAATAAATTGTTATTTTAAACCCCTGGCAGCAAGTTCGGAACTACACCTCTAACCTCCTCAAAAGTAGCCACCAAATGACCCAACCACACAATTGCATTATCACATTGTCTGTGCTTAGGCAAGTCCCCAGGAGCCTCCGAGAGCACTTTAAAGAGGTCAGAGGGCTTCAAGGGGACAAAGCTACCAAATCTGAGGCCCTGGACAGACAACAGGGGGACAAGGACCTGCAGCCCTCCAATGTCCTCTGCTTGTTTTGGGGTTTGTTCAGTTTTTACCTGTACTTTAAGCAAAGCAAGGAGCACACACTGGTCATCACAGGACACGCAGTGAACAGAAAAGCCAGCAAAACACACACAGCCACTGCCTCCCAGGGCCGCCTGCCCTCAGCTTTCCAACATCCACGTCACTACTCATTGAGGCCCTAATGAGCTGCCAGAAGCACAGGCTGAATATTTAATGAAGCTGCTCAGCATGAATGGCTATTGTGACCAGAGCAGGGTTCCTGTTCATCTGCCAGAGGGGCTTTACAATAGCAGGCCCTACTGCTGGGTCTTTTAGCCAAGCAGGCAGCATCCTTCTGGTGTTCTGTGACACTGTGACTGTCTCACTCTTTGGGTGTGCCAGGCCAAGCGATGTGTACACACACTACAGTTTTTGCTTTTTGGGGGCTCCATGTTCCAACTAGTAGAACAAGTAAATTTCCTTCAGAGAATCTTTGTTCACCTAATCAAAAGTATGCTGGAATGATTCTACTGAGCTGACCAAAAAAGGGGGCTTAGGAAGGGGTGAACAAAAATATCAAACAACTCTATAAACCAAAGATGACCTCTGTGGGAACATAGAGACCTCAGTCATACAGATTTCTCCATCTTCACCTTTCCTGCAAGGCTTTTATAACCACAGCCAGTCGGAAATGATCACGAGTCCCCCTATGAAGTGTTTTTCCATAAGCAGCAGCTATTTTCACAGGGAAAGCACCTCTAACTGTATATTCCTGCTGTGCTCCGGAGGCAGTCTGGAGTATTTCTCCACATTGTCAGGGGGTCTTGAACATAAAGACTCTAATTCTTGGCACTGATCTCACAGGACTGCTTTTGCCGATAACTGAGCAAAAAGGAGTTTTTTCTCTGAATTAACTGGCATTTGCTATATTGAAGTAAAACAAGTGCTCATCACTCTTCACTTAGTTGCCTTTACCTAAATTTGAGGTTAGCTTCAGTCCCACTTAAGCTACATGGATAATAAATGCATATGATATTATGGCACTTTGGTGCTAAAGAAAGTCAATGAAATGTAAAATGATGGAATCCATGTGAAAAACAGAATAGCAATTGTTGAGATGATACCTTCTTTCTGTTCCTAAATTAGTTATCAATTCACTACTCTTGGATTCCTTCCTATCCTCTTACCTCCCATTGCACTGATTTCCAGAATGCAGATTTAAAACTAAAACACAGAACATGGAATTCATAGATGAACTGGAAGCTTAACTACCCAGTGGTACGGCTAAGGAAAACCTGCTGCTGAGAGAGAATTGCACGCTCCATGTTTCAATAGCTTGAAAAAATGCCCCACACTGCAAGAATACATGGCACAGACTCCTGGTCCACCTTTGACAGAGAGGAGAAACAACTTCTACTTTAAAATGATACCTACTATGTCTTATTAAAGTTCCAAAACATAAAGCTATCAGTAAATAGAATCAATATGGGTAAAGTCAGACTACTTGAGAAGGACACCCATAGTGTAGACTGCTTTTTCCTAGAACAAGTCTGGCAGTCTCTGTGTTCCCGGTGGAACTAAAGGGGCCACATTATTTCTGAAAATAGCAGTGTGTACTGAAGCAAATCACATGCCAGCGCCCCATGTGCTGCTGGTCATAATGGATTTTCCCTGGAGCAAAATAAGTGTGATTGCCAGAGAAAAGCAGACAACTGGGACAAGAGTCACAGTCCTGGGAGACAAAGCTCTGTGCATCTGCACCTTGCTGCACATCTCACATGCTCTGCTCCCACGCTGAGATGGGGGTGGGCTACTAACTGCAGAACAGAGCCGGGTGGGGGTGGGGGTCTCGTCCCTTAGAGTGAAGGCTTGAACGCGCTCAGCAAATGTTTTTTGTGCACCTACTGCAAAGCATTGCTTGTGGAGACAGCACATTCTCTGCACCCATCTACCATTGAGTTTTTGCGGGGAGGGGCCAGGGTCAGGAACTGGGAACTGAACTCAGTACCTTGTGCTTGCTTGGCTGGCACTGTGCTGCTGAGCTGTATCCTAGAATCCCAGGCTACCATTCTTAAACTACCTCCTCAAGTCTGGCTAATCACTGAAGTAATTTATAAAGAATTACAAAAGGAATAGTCAGTCTTGGCTCAGAAATCAGGAAATACAAATGAACAGAAGAAAAGGTAATTCAAGTAAACAAATCCTCCTGAGATAATCAGTAATAATATTTCAGGGGCAAACTTTCTACTCTTTTTCCTTTTTTACTTGACTCCTTCCTAACCACCTGCAATAAAGGGCTGGGTCCAGAATGATAGACAAGACAGATAGTGGCCTTGCTCTGAAAGCCTATGTTTTCATGAGGAAAGTCAACCTCAAACATAAATAGTTGCAAGTACTCAGGAGCACAAAGAAAACAGAATGACGTGTTGGTACCTGATGGGGGTGAACGAAGGGGTTTTGTTGAGGAGGTAGCATTTGAGCCAAGAACCAATTGTGGAGAACTCAGTGAAATGTAGGGAAAGACCCTTCGAGGTTAGCCCACCTCAGGACAAAAAGCCATATAGCTGAGGGAACTGATATGAAGTCAGCTCAGCAGCAGAGAGAGGCTGCAGCAGGGAAGACTGGAGAGGAAGACAAGGTCCCTGTATGTAGATCGAGGAAGGTCTTCACTAGCCAGGTGTGGTGGTGCACACCCTCAAACCTAGGGAGGGTAAGACAGGAGGATTGCCACATTTGGGCTGCCTGAGAAACTTTGACCCTGTTTTCAATGAATTAAAGAGCTGAGGAAAAACTCTGGCCTCAATCACAAATACCTCCGCAAAGAATAATCTCTGTTGGTGTCTAAATGTAATGGAAAACTAATAGAGGACATGGATCAATCTAGGTAGTCTGGTCTCTCAGAAAGTTGATTTCAGCTGGTATGTGAAAAATTGGGTATAGGTCAACAAGAATGGCATAAAGGAGATTTAACCCAAAATGAGACAGATGGCTGTTATTTATTTTTGATTTAAAAATAAAAATACCATACACACTTTTCTTTGATAAAGTCAGTTGCTGTCCTTGTCAGTAATATTCATTCAGTCTTTTACTTCATGGATGTACTACATTGTTGTTATTTCATGGGACTTAATTCTTCAATGACCACTTTTTATTGGGTTACTCCAGGCTTGTCACTGAGGAAGGGACAGGATGCTGTCACCTTTTACTAACATTACAGCACCGTGATGATCCCTGCACCTGTAGAGATTCTACATTGTAGTATTTTTATTCCAGGACATCAGCTGCAGTCCACATGCTATTGCATTTCATTTGCTCATTTTAGAGACTTCTCATGAAAAAACTCTGTTGACTGTTGGCCATGTAGAAGAGTAAGAAAATACGAAAGCAGGGCTTTCGGAGAAAAGAAAGAATATCCATAAATATTAATCCTTCTTAACTTTGAATCTGTGATGTGTTCACAGGCAGTAGTGTCTATAATTTTCAGAGTAGGGGAATGGAGTAGGGGAATTTCTCAATGTGCTCACATATGTCTCTTAAGTGCTCAAATGTGTCCCTGACCATACAATTTCATTTTCTATCTATGTCCATTTCTGTTTCAACTAACAAGCTGGTGTTTGCTCTTTTAGTGAAAGAGATCTCTAGGACCATGAAAAGCCAATATCAACAATTATTGGTACTCTATAACTTATTTAGGGAAGTATCACAAAATGGAAAATGATGAAATAGATCACGTTTGGGATAAAAACGAAACACATTTGCAAAGTTAACTACAAATTGTATTCTAATGGATTCTCACCACTAATTTTAGACAAAAAACCTTCCCCATTTTTCACTTTGCATCTCTCAAGAGTGTCCTCTCTTCCCTTAAGGTACGGAGACCAGGTGATGTTATTATTACCGACCCTCACTTGCCTACTGATAATGCAAATTACTTACCTCTTGCATCCTTTAATCAATATTTCCAATATATACCCTCCAATAGTTGGAATTCCCAACTTATGTATAATTTAAAGAGTTTTGAAGGGTGCTAAAAAATCTGTCTCTCATCACAGACACCTGCTATTCACTAGTATACATATTTTGGAGCACTAAAAACACTCTTGCAAGATTAGCCTATTTAATTCTGGGGCAGGTGCAAGTGAAGCACAGCCCTGTGTTAGTTTGAGTCTGAAGAATGTGGTAGGCATTGTTCTTGGATAAGATCCACTGTAAAAAGGGGGAAATGATTTTTTTTTGTGTGTGCCGGGGATCAAACTCATGACCTCACACTTGCCAGGCAGGCATTTATGCCACTGAGCTAAATCCCGGGCCAGGAAATGATTCTTGAAAGTCTACAGTACTGTCATTATAGAGGCACTAAAAAAGTAATCTTAAGTGACAGGAGTGATGAATATGCCAATGAAAAGCAGGTGAGAGTTTATGCAATCCTGTAAATGACAG